CCTTCCAATACCTTTTGGGGAATTGCTCCACCAAATTTAAATTAATCTGTGCCTGTGCACCCATCACAAGCTCTAACTGATGCTACTCACATACACCCATCACTGATAATACTAATCTATCAATATTTGTGTGACCTGGGATGATACTATGTTCACCCTCTCTGGCTTGCCTGCAGGCAGCCACTGTGAGAGTATTCCCTTTTTGTTCCATGATAGAATTAGAGTTAGGGGCTGGTTGGGGCCTTGGAGAACTGTATTACCTTTGGAAAGTATCTATCCCATCTTAGCGGCCTCGCCTGCTTCCTGGGCTTGATTGCATTGCTTCTAGTCACGACATTCATCTTGGGTAACTTGAAGTGGAATTTTACTAACAAAAATAATGACTGGAAACAAACTGGATCATGTGATTTGTCAATAGCCTTGTCTAGCTGGATTTCATGTGAAGTACACTGCACCTGCAGCCCTGGTGCTCCTCCTTTGCTTATCCCCTATAACGTTGCTCTCTTCTGTCCCGGGTCTCTCCCAGGATTCTGTTCTCAAGAGCATTCACTTTTCAGAAGACTGCAGGGCCAGTTTCCTGTTTCTTCTCATGCTTCCTTATTGTGACCAGATTCTAAGATGGTCCCCCATAATCCTGCCTTCTGGTACTCATACCCTGTGTACTCCCCATGGGACATGTTATTACTTCTAACCAGAAGACTGCCAAAGTTTCAGAATGTCAACTCTGTGATTACATTACACAAGACTGTGGTGTTGTTTTTGGATGCCATCAAGTCAGTTCTGACTCCTAGCAATCCCATGTAACAGAGAACTATCTCAAAGGATTTTCTAGGCTGAAATCTTTACAGAATCACATTACCAGGTCTTTGTCTCATGGAGCTGCTGGGTAGGTTTAACCCACCAACCTATTGGTTAGCAGCTGAATGCTTAAGTGCCATACCGCCAGGGCTCCTATATAAGACTGTAGTATCCCTCTTTCAAGGTGCATTTCTAGCATTAATGCAGCAAATGGCCATGTTGTGGAGAATCACATTGCAAGGAACTAAGGGTAGCCTCCAGCTGACAACAAGCAACGAACTTAGGCCCTCTGCCCAATAAGCCACAAGAAACTGAATTCTGCCCACAATCACACACACATGGAAATGCATCCTTCTCCAGTAAAGCATTGAGATGAGACTGCAGCCCCAGCCAGCACAGGGACAGGAGCTTTCAGATGACATCCTGCTGTAGGGGACACAGCAAAGCTGTACCCAGACACCTGACACAAAACTTTGAGATAAGAAATGTGAATTGCTTTAAGTTGCTAAATTTGTTCTAATTATAGCAGCAATAAATAGCTAGTACATTCTGATTTCTGGGCATTTCCTCTATCTAGTAGTCCCCAGAAACATCTTCATTGTCTCTGGCCTCTCTTAGAGCACATGTGGGGACCTGCAAATCCAAACTTCAATCCCTTACAATCTGGAAATCCACATAAATAATTATCAGATTGAAAACCATCTCCTCAGCTTTCTCCCTTCCCTGGTCAAAGGTTTCCCATACTCAAGATATCGGCCTGGACACCTAAGTACTGCTTGCAGGGGTGGCAAAGGTGGCAGTTGAACTTCGTATCTTGTATCTGTACTAATCCCTCCTGACCTTACCAGGCCTTCAGGCAATTCTGGACCTCTGTGCCCCACTAGATAGATACTTAGTTCCTGGTCCACAGGGGACAGCAATCACACCCCCAGGCCACTCTCGAAGCAGCTCTAATGCTAAAGACTTAAAAGATTTGCTCTGCTAGTGGGTTAACTCAGTCTTTACAGGGTCAATTTTTTTTTTTTTTTAATGTTGCTTTTGTTTCTTAAAATTAGTTTCTGTTGCACAAGTAGTAGCTCTGGTGGCATAATGGCTAAGGCATTTGACTTCTAACCAGAAACCTGGTGGTTCAAACCATCAGCCACTCCTCGGAAGGAAGATTGGGCGATCTCCTTCCGTAGAGATACTGCCCGGCAACCCAAGGAGTGGGTCGCTGTGGGTCAAAATCGACTCGACAGCAGAGTTTGGTTTTTCTGGTATTGCATAAGTAGTGCTTGAATATATCTCCTTGTCAAAAAAAAAAAAAAGTAAACGTTAGCCTTATCTCCAATGTACCCTTTAACTTCCATGCTGGAACTTGGGCCTCTCTCACATTTATCCGTTTGGTGTGTCTTTAGACCTTTTACTTATTCATTCATGTACACATACGTAGCTGTAGAAAATACTCTGTGGTTGCCATTTTTAAACATTAATGGTATCACATTGTACATACTAATCTATGATCTAGTTCTAAAATTTCATGTGTCTTGGAGAGCTTCCCATGTTAGTGCATATACTTCAATCTCTTTAACTGCCATGTAATATTCTATAGTTTGAATGGACATTGATATGGTGTCGTTATTTGCTATTAAAAACAAGTCCACTAGAACATCTTAGTATATTCATCTTGGGTATATGGGGGAGTATTTATAGGATAGAGATGTTAGGCCACAGGATATGATTTAAATGTTAAAAGATATTTACTGTCCTCCAAAGGAGCTACACCAATTTACAAGTTCACCTGCAAGAAATGCATCACTTTCTAAAACCTTGCCAACACTTTATAATTTTTATCTGACAGAGCAGTTCTCTCATTGCTGTAATTTGCAGTTCCTTGGATTACAGTTTAACACCTGTGGTAGCTAAGGTTGTGTGTCAACATAGCTGGGTCTGGTCAAGTGGCTGGGCAGCTGGTAGTAGTTATTCCACAGGATGAGAATGGCAATCAACTCCATGGTGGGATCTACAAGCAGCTGAATAGCTGCTTTATGGATGTGGTCTGCTTCCCATATATAAGCAGCAGGTTTGGGAATGGTCTCTAGCTTTTTGGCATACTTGACCCTGCATGTAGCTGAGTCTTCATTCAGTTGCCTGCCATGCTCTATCAGTCTTGGGACTTTCAAGGGACTTAAATTAATGGCCTGCCATGTGATTTGGTAACATTGGGACTGTGCCTTTTTGCTTGTCAATCTTGGGTTTGTCAGCCTCAGCAGCCAGCAGCTGCCTGAGTGAAGAAAGCCTCCAGCTGCAGTGGGCTGGGAGTCAGAGGCAGAGCTGAAGCCCAAGGTCGAGGGGCTTTCACCCAACCCCCAGAGCCTGGCATTTTGAATCGGACTTCTAGCCTCAAAAACCGTAAGACAATAAACTCCTGTTTGTTAAAGCAATTCCATTTTTTTAATTTTTATTTTTATTAGGATTTGGGTGAAGATTTACAGAGTAAATTCACTTTTCATACAGCAGTTCACATATACTTTGTCTCATGTCATTGACCAAAATTTACAATGCAGCAGCTCCCCTCCCACTTCCTCCCCATAGTTACCTCCTCCCAGTGTCCATCCCTTCATACTCTTCTGCACCCTGAGCTATCTCCCTGTGCATAAGCAGCCCTTCCTTCTCCCATGATTGTTCTCGCCAGGGTGTGTGTCTACTTGAGGTAAATGTTTAACTCACATGCCTGTACTTTGTTTGGCTGGAAACCACAGGTGTGGGTTCAATTCCAGACCTGAAGGGCAGCTAGGGGCCATAGTCTCAGTGGTTACACCAGGCTCTATTGGACCAGCAAACCTGGTCCCCATCTTCTTTTTTTTTTGCCTCCAAATGATTTTGAGTTTTGTACCACATTGTTCTCCCTCTTTATGCAGGATCTCCTACATCCCTTCCAAGTGGATGGCAGTGGTAGCTGGGCACCCTCTAGTTCTTCTGGTCTCATAGTTGTATAGGTTGCAGATCGGATGGTGTACCAGTCACTAGGACTGATTGTTTCCATTAATTTTGGTTTTCTTCTTTCTTCTTGACGAGGAGAGACCTATTGTTGCATCTAGATGGCAGCTTCCTAGCTTTTAAGGTCCCAGTCGCTACTCGCCAAAGTAGTAGGTGGAACAATGTTTTGTATAGTATGTTATGCCAATTGAGCTTGATGTCCCCTGCGACTATGGTCCCAAGCCCGCAGGATCAACTACTTGGTCCCTCTGGGTAGCTGGCTGTGACCCAGTAATGACCATAACCTTGCCCCTTGTCAGCTCTACTATACACCTGGGAATTCTGATCATTCACATAAAGCAATTCCATTTGTGGTATCTTCTGTTAAGAGCAGCACGAGGTGATCAAAATACCCTTTCTATATATATATATACATATATATATATGTATATATATATATATATATATATATATATATACACACACACACAACACATATTTGTGCCTTACCATATTTTAGGTATGTCCAACGCATAATTTTTTGTTTTTGGCTTTTTATGTCCTATTTAGAGAAAGTCCCCTACCTTATTGTCACATTTCTTTTTTGTGATTTCAGTGAAAATTTATAGAGCAAATGGTTTTCAACAATCCATAGTTTTGTGATATTTTTAGTTACTACTCCTACAGATTTATGCTTAATGTTGTTTAAATCCCAGAAGAATTTATTTTAGTGAATGGTAAGGCTCTATTATTTTTAATTTGAAAGCAATTGTCCTGGCTCTATTTATTGGCTAGCCTACCACCTGGAAATACCACTGGTATAATACTAAATTTCCGTATACACAAGTCTGTTTCTGAACTCCAGTTCATCACTACCATCAGTACCAGAGTTTTGGTATTTCTACTGGATCTTCAACGGGGCCTTCAGGACCATTTAATACACTTCCTCTCTGCAACTGCTCAACCCCACCTTTGTTTCTTGTTCCCGCTCTCCAGGCTAGCATGAACCTCTCTAACCTTGAACACAGCTGGAGAGCAGGGGATACCAATGGTGGAAAGACTGCATTCACATCTTGATAACCTTCCACCTATTCTTACTCTCCCCAGGCCTCTCTACCAAGAGCAATCCAGCCGGACACTAGTAGCCTAAGTGCTATTTATTGAAAAGAGCAAAGAAAACAAACAGAGGACAAGGACCCCAGGATGGGGTGGAACAAGACAAGCAATGCAATTTTGACTCCTGCTCAGCATATCCTCTTGTTGCCCCACTGGGCCATCTTGTTGTTGATGGGCATCTTGAAGAAACGGTCAGACTGCATGTACGCAGCTATTTTCTCCAAAGCCTGAAAGGAAAGCACACCAATCCTTATAAAGACCTGAACTGGTCCGAGAGATCTAAACTGCAACCACATCATTTACATACTGCCTGCCTCCACCTACCCTCATTTCTGGTAGACAGAGCCTTTGGAGTGGAAGAAGGCAGGCCCTAACCAAGGCTTAAAGGTGTCCCACCATTGGTCACTTTAGGCAAAAGCTATCTATGCTGGACCTCTATGGGTTTCCTCATGACCCTGGGGAGTCTGTGAGTATTTTTGTAAGAGAAAGATTCAGGGAGCCTCACCTCAAAACGGGACATGAAAGCCTTCAGATTTGGGAACTCATCCAGGCACTTGGGCTCAAACATGCGGTTCTGGTCTAACACATCATAGGTGAGAAAGTCCACAAAGGTGAGCTAGAAGAAGGACAACAAGATGATCAGGTCTGAAGAGTTCATCAACAACTAGACAGAGAGATGTCCTCTCCTTTCATTTCTTCCTACCTTTTCCCCTGCAAACCAGGAGAATTTCCCCAGGAATAGAGAGAATTGTTTCAGTTGTCCAGGCAGCTGTTCTAAGTATTCAGGTTTCAACTTTTCCTGGGAGGAAGCAAGAGAAGGAGAACAGATGTCATCTCTTCATAGCTGATCAAGGTATTAGAGACACTTAGCAGTCCCTTCTCCAGGTGTCTTCCTTTCACTGCCTTCAGGTAGGGATGGCAGAATGGGAAGCAGGAGTTTGAAAAGGGGAAGGGGCCAACATTAAGAGATACAACACAAAACAAAAAGCAAGGATTCTGTTTTCTGCTCTCACTGACATACTGGGTTGGTGAAAAGGTAGCACCAGCAGAATGTGTCCATAAATGATACTTCATTCAGCTGATGCTTGTTAAGGAAACTCACGTGATCAGGGCTATAGTTGACCCGTGCAAGTTGCATGCGGAAATCCATTACTTGGTTCTCTATTATGTCCACTCGAATCTTTTCTTCTTCTGTCTCGCCACCTGTGGGCCAAATAACAAGAACTCACCCTTGGTTGCACCCGTCCCTGGTGAACAAACCAGCCTGGTCTCCCTCACCAGCCTTCCCTACTCACACATATTATGCTTGCGAGCAATATAGCGCAAGATGGCATTGCTCTGGGTGAGCTTGTTCTTTCCATCCAGGAGGTAAGGCAGCTGAAAGACAAAGATCAAGTGAACAACCTGCCTTTCTTTTGCCTCCTCATCTCTTTCCACTGACTTCAGGGAAGTGGACAGGAGAGAGAACATGGTATTATTAGGAGAAAGCAGCAGCTCAATAGAACATAGCAATTGGGTCCCTCCCTACCTGATTCTAGACAGGGGTTCTTCATGTGTATGTATACATGTGCCAGGGACCCTTTCTCAGAACAATGTTTTCAAATGCTTAAGGTATTTACAGAATTATCAAAATATATTAAAAAAATTAATAAAGTAAAATGTGCTTATTAATGCATTAAATAATCGTTGTTGTTGTTGTTGTTATGTGCCGTCGAGTCGGCCCCGACTCATAGCGACCCCTCCTTGGGTTTCCGAGGCAGTATCACTACGGAAGTAGGATTGCCCAACCTTCCTTCCGAGGAGTGGCTGGTGGGTTTGAACCGCCAGCCGTCTGGTTAGCAGGCAAGTGTCTTAGCCACTATGCTACCAGAGCTCCCATTAAATAATTAGCAGGCTTAATATTGACTATAATTTCAAAGTAAAGATGATTATAAATAATATTTAAGATAGCTGTAACAAATATACAAAAATACCTGATTTTTACTAGAGACAAAAAGTCACAGACATTGTTAATAACTAAGGGGTCTTATCATCTATATTCACAATAAGAGGAAATGCTAAATTTCAGTTAGTGGTTAGTGGAAATGAAAATGGGCTCCTGAATTCTATCTATTCAATCTGGGTTTTTGTTTTTGTTAGCTGCTGTCTAGTTGGCCCCTGACTCATGGCAACCTCATGCACAGTGGAACAAAACACATTCCAGTTGCACAGTGGACTGCACAGTTGCAATCCATAGGGTTTTCATGGGCTGATTTTTACAAGTAGATTACCCAGGTTTCTTTCTAGTCTGAGTGTGGAAGTTCTGCTGAAATCTTTTCAGCATCACAGCAGCACACATGCCTCCACTAACAAACAGGTGGTGCCTGTACGTGAGGTGCATTGGCCAGGAATTGAACCCAAGTGTCCTGCATACTAGGAGGAGGGAAGGGGCAAACAACCCAAACCTGTTGTCATTCCAACTCATAGTGACCCTGTAGCTCAGAGTAGAAATAACTCAATGGGTTTCCAAGGCTGTAACTCTTTACCGAAGCAGACTGTCCCCCATCTTTCTCCCTTGGAGTGCCTGATGGGTTGAAACCACTGACCTTTTGGTTAGCAGCCAAGCACTTCACCAGTGCTCTTCGGTATCCTCTGTGGAGACTATGAATTCCACCACTGAACCACCACTCCCCCATTCTATCCAGGTTAAGAATCCCTATTCTAGATCCTTCTAGACCAGACAGAGAGGAAGCAAGGATATACTTGAATGCCTTCCCTTTTGCCCCTTATCCTTTAAGGCCACTCACGTTAGGAAAGTCCAGGTCTAGCTTGAATTTCACATCCAGCCATTGGCTTCTATCATAGTCAGGAGCTAAAAAGAGAGAGAATGAAGAGGGACCCAACTTCCTTAATATCTCACCTGAGGAGTCAGTGGAAAGATATAATGAACGAGTCCCAGTACCCCACATTTCCAGACTCAGAAATCTTAATCATTTTGCCTCTGGGACCTATGTAGTTAATCATTAAGGCTGCGTTGGGCCATAGCAAAGGCAGAATCCCCAGCTCCCCAACAAGACCTTTCTGCTCCCCAGGTGGTTCAGGCAGAAATTAATCCGTCCTTGGCTTGATAACTTCTGGGCACAAGAACAAAGGGATAGCTGGGACGCCAACTTGGCTTTATGAGGGGCCAAGAACAAACCGGCGCCGGTGGCGCAAGAGCACACAGTACCTTCCCCGCAGGTGTACCGTTTCTCCTCATAGGATGTATCCGTAAATTCCAGAAGCATGCGGATGGCGTGCGCCAGCTGTGGGAGAAAGCCCACAGTCAGCGCCTGCGCGCTCCCACCGTACCCCCGCCTCGCTCTCGCCTACGTTCCCGACCAAGGACTGCCCAGACCCTACATCTGCCAGGGCGGTCGTTAAGCGGCCGCCAAGACCAGCCCCGCGGCTTCGTGTCCTCAGCTCCTCCTCACGGAGCGCTGCGATCCCCGAGGAGAGGCAGGGATCTGCCTCCTTGGCCTGGGAGTTCGGCTGGGGCTGGCTGAGCCTCGCGAAGGAGAACAGCTACTACTCTCAAAGATTGTTGACCCAGAAACCTGACCGTCTCTGCGCCCATCTTCCTGACCGAACAGCTCGGCAGTGGAGGGGGCACTCACCCCGCGAATATCCCAGTAACCTAGCAGCATAGTCGATTTAGATGGAGAACTCATCCTGCTCCCGTGCCTTGGCGGACTAGAAGTTTACGCCCCGCAGGAGCGATTTTTCAAGCCAACGCAGTAGGCGGCACCAACGTGTGTATCCGCCCTAACCCCGCCCTCCGTTCACGTTCCCTTTCTTCGCGCGCCTTCCGCGGGCTTCCGCGGGCCGCGCGCCTTCCGCGGGCTTCCGCGGGCCGCGCGCCTTCCGCGGGCTTCCGCGGGCCGCGCGCCTTCCGCGGGCCGCGCAACTGGAGCCGTACTAGTGCTCAGGACCCAATGACTATCAGGCCTTTGCCTGAGAGGAGCGCGTCCAACGCCCCAGGGGACCA